ATTTATCACAAATAAACAGTAAAATATTAAATAAACACCACAAATTGTATGAAAAAATTTTAAAAAAAGTAGTTCATAGAGCACGGAAACTGAAAAACATCTTTAAAATAAAGAACTCAAATAACAAAATGAAAACTATATGGCAAATAATTAATAAAGAAACGAATAAAAATATTCGAATAAAACAAAATGTTACACTAAAGACACAGAATTCCTGTCTTACAAATCCCAAAACCGTGGCAAATTCATTTAATAACTACTTTGCTAAAATTGGCGCACCGGAAAAAACCCCACAAGAATTAAATCAAAATCAAAATTTAAAATTAACAACTAAGGTCACAGAGCCCATCGAAAATTCTATTTATTTATTTCCTGTTGAACCACGTGAAGTTCGAAACGTTATTAAAAAATTAAAAAATAAATATAGTTTCGGCATTGATGAAATACCTCCCATCCTAATAAAAAAGTGTATTGATAGTCTAACATTGCCTTATACGGAACTTATAAATCAGAGCCTTAACGAAGGAATTTTTCCCGATTCCCTAAAAATATCAATCGTCAAACCTATTCACAAAAATGGCGAACTGACAGATACAAATAATTATCGGCCAATCGCATTATTACCAACATCATCTAAAATATTTGAATCAGTAATGTGTAAAAAAATGTATTCCTTTTATGAAAAATACAACGTTTTTGACAAAAATCAGTATGGCTTCCGAAAAGGCCGCTCTACGATTTTCGCTGTATACAAGTACGTAAATGAAATACTAGATACACTAAACGCAAGGAAATACGCGGTAGGATTATTATTGGACATGAGTAAGGCGTATGATAGAGTTGACTATAAAATCCTTTTGAACAAACTTTACAATACCGGGATTAGGGGTATAGCATACAAATGGTTAAAATCTTATCTCACGAACCGGGATCAATACGTAGAGATTGAAAATATTAACTTTACAACTGGATTAGTAAAAAACGTGCGTTCAGAACGAATAAGCATGACAAACTCCATCCCACAGGGTAGCGTCCTGGGATGTATTTTATTCCTAGTGTATATAAACGATCTTCCCAAAATAATTGACGACCACTGTATTCTATTCGCTGACGATATATCAATTTTATTCCCTTGTATGACAATGAACGAATTAAAAAATAAACTTGACATTACATTTGACAAAATTATAAACTGGCTCAATGCACATAATCTGAAATTAAACTTTAAGAAGACCTCATTGATACAATTTAGACCTTACCAAAAAACACCTTTAAAATTACACTATGAATACGAAAATTGCGCACTAAATGTTGAAACAGCAGCTACTCTTCTCGGAATCCGACTGGACACTAGTCTGTGCTGGAAAGCGCATGTAGAGAAGTTAATCAAAAATTTGTCATCTTCTATATATGCCTTACTGAACTTGAAGAAAGTTACAAACTTTCACACAGCTCTATCTACATATTACTCCTATATTCAGTCCAGACTCGCGTATGGCATAGTGCTTTGGGGAAACTGTACAAATATAAATGAACTTATGATTCTTCAAAAAAAGTGTATTCGTATACTAGTTAACATCGAACAAACAGTGTCTTGTAAACCGTATTTTATAAAACATAAAATTCTGACAATAACTTCTATTTATGTTTTGGAGTGCTGTAAATTTGTCCTTAAACATTTTGAACTTTATTCCCCCATTACCATAGTAAAACGAAATAATCGCGGCTTAAACAAACTAAAATTACCCTTTTCTACCCTAAGCCTATATAGGACAGGATCTCACTCTATGGCAATCCAAATATTTAATGCTGTACCAAATAGTATAAAAAGTCAACCAAATATAAAAAAGTTTGAAAATCACCTCAAAAAATATCTTCTGGACAACGCATTTTATACATTACAAGATTTTTTCTCAGAAAATAACACTCAAATACTGTACTAGTTTTGATTTGTTTAATGTAAGTTTTATTTTTGATATTGGGTAATTATATGACAATTTTTTTTTTAAATTACTATTATTATTTTGACTATTTTAGTAATGTATAATTTTTGACAATAAATATGACATGTAATGTAATAGATATGTAAATGGAATATTGTAAAGTGTGCTCTCTCTCAGATGTTGCAACGCCCTACCGGGATGCTATATGTATAAGGAAAAAATGTAAAACTTAGATCTAAGAAAACCATGTAGCAAGCAATGAATAAATAAATAAATAAACATACATACAAAAAAAAAGAACATACAGTCGAATTGAGAACCTCCTCCTTTTTTGAAGTCGGTTAAAAATTAAAAGACACTTCCTTTTTTAAAAAAGAAATATACCGCAAATACGAATGAAGTCATATTTTTTAATGAATTTGTTAAACGTAAATTAAAAATTGCCAAACTTCTGTTTCATTCATTTCAGATTCAAAAATGATGTTGCTAATATTATTATGCGGTATTATTCACGTAAGGGCAACTCCTATTACAGAAAATTGCAAAGGAGTCGCACTGGCTAATTCAAATGTACACGAAAGGAAAACTCTAAAAACTGGACTGCACAGACCGTTGTTGCTGGCCATGGATAATACCTCAACCATTACATATTTAGTTATTATATTAGAAAGTCTACTCCTGGAAATGAACTATTGTTATTTTTGTACTCTAAAACTATGCTTAACTTCAATTTCTACTTCTTTTGAAAACTTTTTATTTCTTTGAAACCTTTTTTCTTTGTCAAAAATAATTTCACAGAATAAATTTCTTCCTCGTCCAGACAATTGTATTGTTTTTATTTTGTCCTAGAGTTTAGGAAATAAAACACCTCCTGCCTCTACAAAAAATAGGACCTGGACATAAAGTTACAAATGACAAAAATACATTTTATTGATCCATCCTCTAAGAAAAAAAAAGTGTAGAAAAAATTGTAGACTTGGAAATTTGACAGTCAAGTGACAGATTTTGATCAGATTTTTTCACAATTTGAAATAAAATTTAATTTCTCTATATAGAAATTTAGTATTAAATTGTTCAGTATTAGAAACATAGTAAGTAAGGCTTGTTATCAATTTTGCACTAGTCTTTGCAAGCGGCTTCATTCCCTTCTATTCGTTCTTTCATTTATCTACCTCAATATTGAAGAGGTCTAGGTAATCTTAACCGACGAGCGTATATGAATTGCATTGATCCATGTTAATAACACGCAAGATTGATTTTTTCACTCACACAAAATTTTACTAAAACTACCTGGACACTGGAAGAATTGTCCTAAGTAGGACAGAAGCCAGAACCTACAAAAATAAAATAAGACACGAAATATTTATGTCAGGATCATAGCAAGTGGAAATGTGTGATCTCTGCGTACCATGATAAGTAAAGGGAGTGAACTGTAGGTATATAGTAAATTTCAGAAATGACCTGGAACTGACGACAAATTGTTGGGAGTATTGTAACTACAACCAGATCAGATGGACCGAAATAAGTTACATGTGATATCTTATTATATTCAGGTATGTTCCACAGATATTTTCATTTGAGGTATATTATATCCACTTGATAATTGTATCTGTCATAACGAAGACTACAAATATCATTGTAACTTGATTTATTGAAACGTTAATTTTTAAAAAACATTTGGTGGTGGTTTAGATACATAGAGTATATAACAAGAAATAGAGATGATTTTTTTTAAATTTAATTTGTTTGAAAACTATTCTGCCAAATCATTACGGTGACAACTGCGCTCCGATTGGCCATCCCGAATTCGAACAATTGACGGGTGTCACCAATTGTTTCATTTCATATCGATCGGTTTAACTTGAGCTTTACTATAATGGACGAAAATTTAAAAATTTCATATTTAATTATCGATGAAATGTAATTCTGTTTGATCTGTAATTAGATGATTTATTGTTTTTCCCACATCATCGAACGGAACAGCCCCCCATAATTGGAGATATTATCTTTATTACAATAATTACAGAATATTTTTGGAATATTCGGAGACGCACACACTGTTCAGTTGTTGGCGCTGTACTATTTTACCTAGGTGATAAGGTGATATAAGGCCCATTTGCCTGATGACTTGTCAGGGGTGGATTCTAGTTATATGCTCGATGTTTAGATATAATATTTTACTGAAGCTATTTCACATGCTTTTAAGATTTAAATTCAGCTTTATACCACTTATAAGTGCAGTTCAAAGTGTGATGGAAACAGCACTCTATAATCTTAAACAAGTCTATGCAGTTTTTCATCGTCCACAGCCCGAGTTCATACGTTGTTAGGCAAATGCCTCCCATACAGCCATTCACCACGATCTTGCCATCTATTTTCACCCATCTATGGCTCGTAATTTTTAATTTCTTTTTATTTATTGTACACATATTTTCACAGTATTACAGTTAAGAAGTAATCCACCGTGAAAACTAAGATAAATTTAAAAATTAATAGCAATAAGATATAAAAAAAGAATTTAAAAACTAACAATAAAAATAATAATCTCAGTACAGAGTACTAAAAAAACCGACCTCAAAAGTACGTGGAATTACGTCTATTTGCTAAGTTTTATTGAAATATCCTTAAATTCGCCACTATACAGGACTTGACACTGGAGATAATAAAAATCGGTTCTCACTACTCAAATTATATTGAGAGAAAAACGCCTTGAATTGGACAAATAGCAAAATCAACCATTGAAATAATTGCTCCTTAAGTAAACTTAGGCGCTATTTATAAAAATGAATCTTCATGCGTGAACAGCCACCCTTAGAGGTGGATGATTTTCTTCAAAATGAAATGGGACCACTATGAAAGTACCCCCTTTCCAACAAAAAAGAATCATGAAAATCGGTTCACAAATACCGGAGTTATCGCGTAACATACATACAACAAAAAATAAATAAAAAACATACAGTCGAATCGAGAACCTCCTCCTTTTTTGAAGTCGGTTAAAAAAGACAAATACATTATACATCACATACCTCGGACACATTTTTGCCGATGAGCTTAAAGATGATGACGATATTTAGAGGGAGGGAGCGCAGGGCGTTGGCGATACGCAGGAATATGGTGGCCCGCAGGTTTACCCGCTGTGCGGATCAAGACAACATAACGCACTTCAAAGTGGTCAGGGTCTGTACACAGGCGGTTCAAAGGTCGCTTAATTCCCTGCGCGTTGAATATAATAACTTATTCTTGATGATGTTGAGACTACCCCGGTACTGCAGCGCCTTCGGGAAATTTGTCTTGCGAAAAACAGTAGCATCGTTAGTTAGAAAGTTCCAGGGGAGTAACAACAGCATCCTGAAGGTTGTGGCAGTGGATCACAGAGTGCTGAGGCATCTCGTACGGATAATGATACCGCACGAGATGCCTTGTAAGTACCTGACATTTTAGATTTTAATTAATTAAGTAATAATGTTATGTAATATTCCAACTAACTAATAGCTTATAAGTTTTTTCTCTAATATACTAACACCAATAGATCGTGTTATCTGAAAATAAATATTTTGAATTTGAATTATAATTATACACGATTGCTGACTGTAGAACCAAATAACTTTTTTTGTAGAATAGAATAGAATAGAATTTTTTTATTACTACTCCACAACAAAAATATACACAGTAATAAAATGAAGATAAAAAAAAAGATGAAGCTACATTAAAACAAAAAATTAAAATAAAAATAACTGGAAAAAAAGGAATAAAAGTAAAAAATCATACACAACAACAAAGCAAACATGAAATATTTAACACAATTAGATTAAGTGTCACTGTGCGTGGATGTGGCGTATGTAACAGGATCCCACTCAGCTATTGTCACCACCGAGAAAAGGCTGTGACGCTGATTTTCAGTGGGCCCTAAAACCGAGTGACAGTTTGTGTAGTATTTGTTGGGTATGATGAGTGTTACTGTTGAGTATTGTCTTGTATGTGTAATTAAAGCTATACATGAAATGGTAAGGGAAAGCTATAACCTATCACAAACAACCCTACGTTCCTACCTTTTTTTTACAGCCTAGCCCTAACCATACACTACTATAAATACGTATATAGCCGCTCACGCGACGCGCTCTTTCTACCGCAAAATGGCGGCTATTTGGTTTCGCAAATTAGAAAAGCATTCACTTTAAATACAAGTTTTTATAAATAAAAATTATTATTCTGCATTGCTAAATAAATACCCTCCGTACTACCAATAAAAACATCTCAAATAAAATGCAGTAATACACCGCAAATCCTGCACTTAAAAAGCACTAATGAAATTTTTGGTGTACTTGGATAAATATGATAATATTCCGTTTGAGTGGTTCTAACGTTTACCATGAAATTACTCCTTAAAGTATAGTTTATAAACATTTATATTCAGGGTAAACTTAAAAAACGCTACTTACGGTATGTTTTCAATAAATAAACACCGAAATCACCAGCTCAAGCAATAACACACACGATTGTCGTGACGTATTTTTGAAGTTGTTTATTTTTTTAAATGACAGACCCAGGCATTAAAAACTTTATGGTTTGCTAGAGTAGTTACCGAAACAGCAATTAATATTAGTTCTTTTACCTGTTATAACTTCGATATCCGATAAATCGGTATAAAATCAACACCGGCACCTCTAGGTGTGGTATGCGTCTACGGTTGCATGTATCGCGTGAGCGGTTATATAGGCAGGGGAAGCCTGTTACCATGCGATCTAAGGTAACAGACGGAAGGTGGGAAGGATAAGGGGTGCAAGTAGTGGATTTTCTCGCTGCCAGTCTCACAGACTCACAAGACTGATCAGATAAGCTGACGGCTAAAGGTATCTTGGCCGCAGTGAGAGGATGCTGTAGTCAGGAGAGTTCCGTCGTCGTCTATGAATCTGGATCCAAAGAGATCTTTATTTCTAGACTATTTATACAAATTCTATTTACATACGCACACATGTGCGTATTTAACTACAATATAATTTTTAAATGTAAAACAGGAAACGTCTACTCAGCAGGCAGGTTTTGCACATTTCTATTCGGCCAGTGCACTGCTGAGTAGTTTATTATCGTCACGTGGTAATGTTATATGGGATTCATATGGGATCGTCATATGGGATTGGAACCAGCATCTGTCGCCATGTAGGGGCTACCGCTCTATACCAACTGAGCTACAGATCGAGTGAGATGAAAACCGAGGCCGTTTTCACAAAATAGTGGTTTAATAGGCATTAAAATACGAGTGTGGGTTTATGAAAACATCACATGAATGTTTTAATGCCTAATTATCTACAGTTACATACACTGCTTTATCTATACACACCGTTCGTACGTTCAGGAACCGCGTGTTACGACTGACTTTGCGGATTTGATCAGAGCTATTAGCAGTAATTGCTAATAAAATAATGCAAAAAACATATTGATTAAGGTTCAAATCACACTGGCCCAGAGTTGAAGCGTCGCAACGCGCGACGATGCTCGCACTAGTGCGCCCGGATCACAGGGTGGTCGGCGTCTGACGACTCACTGCGCACAAGATAACGCTCGGCGACCACGTCGACGCGCGAAGCCACTCGACTGCACGCCCAAGCGTCGACCCTTGAATCCATATTTGCATAACACAAATTTGTACCTTAATGATGGGAAAATAGAGATGAATATGCTATAAGCGAAAAACATGACGCGTCGCGACGCTTCGACTCTGCCCCAGTGTGTGTTGAGGCTAATTAATTTTTTTTTAAACTAGACTCAGCCCCAACTATCATATCGTTTGATATCAAGTAACGCAATAACGTATAGCAGAAGAAATAATCACAAAATGTTTGTTAAAACTTTCTTACGTCGAAACTGAAGAGTTCCTCTTATTTAAAACTTATCTTATAGGACAGTATACAAGATCATTCATATTCGAGCACACACGCACACGCGTTGCGTATACACACACACACACACACACACACACACACACACACACACACACACA